AAACTTGCGTTGACCTTCTCAAGTCGACTGGCGATGTCTACTCAAACGAAGGATAAGTTATCTGAGTTGGCCTCCTCTATGTACATTTACAAATTCAGCTGCTCCTGTGGAGATAGCTATATCGGGCGTACTACCAAGCAACTTAACCAACAAATGACTGAACATTTTCCAGCATCGTATAAGAAGGGTCAGTCAAAAATAATACGCAGTTCGATCTTAGCACACCTAGATTGATAGTGGTCATATTGTAGATAATGTCTAGATCTTTTCAAGTGATCTATCTCGTATACCTCAATCATTTCCCAACGGAGTTCGACCCCTCTTCTACATGCATGCAGAAGCCATAGGAATTCGTACATTCAACCCTAATTTATGTGTTCAGAAGAAATTCGTGACACCCCTATCTCTTCCGTGACCCGCTTATGACGTAGCTAACGATTGACCTTATATTTTTTATTTTTACACATTTACTTATTACGTAATGGTTTTAATGTTTTGTAATGATTATTTGAAGTCTATTCATCCATGAGGTTTGACCTACTCTTGATAAAACTTAAGTTATCATATTTTATAATTTTCTTACTACTATCAGTACACGTGTCGTCTTCCTACTATCCACTTGTACTTTTTGCCTATTATGCGTGTAGTGACGTAATCTCTATTTCATTTCATTGTGACAATTATTGACTCCTAAATTGACTTGATTAGTTTCACATTTTCATACATAAATATTCATGTACACTGAAGAGTAAAGCAGCCTGATGACGATCTAATCGAAAACAACAACACTATTGTTCGCTTATATCTATGTTGTTCTAAATTTTCACAATGGAAATCTTTAGTACTCATAAATAAATCTATTGCACACTTGATCATTAGGAATTATGAGTTTCTGTGTCAGTATGTGGTTGCAGAAATTGGCTTGTCAATACAACTTAGTATGGGACTTTTCAACAGTGGGTGTCTATATGACCTCGCATGTGGGAATCGGGACAGAGGACCTCCGGTTACCTTCGTAGATTCTTAACTTCTAGGCTATTGGACTGCAATTTGCTGATCTACGAGTTTAACTTCAATGAGTCTACGTTGTGGTGAAACCATTTTCTAATGCACAGAAATGGAATCGTCAATTCAAATCCCATAGTCGTACAGGTAGGAGAAGTATTATCAATAATGGAGATTAGGGTTCAGCAATATCATTCGGAAATTATAATCCAGTGAAATAAACTTAAAAAGAGGAGGACAGAGATAATGATGAATTCAGATTACAATTTCAGAGAACAAAAAGAGTGGATGCAACTTCGCCATTGCAAACGATTTTGAGCCATCTCATTCAAGATGTCTAACCATTGATTACTATTGTATCGCGGACCCTAACCAGGTATTCTACACTTACTAATATGGCTCAGTTAACTTGTAAGTGACTCCCTGAATTTGTGTCAGGTTTTGGTTTGGTCACCCCTAGCTTTCTTCCAATCTATTCCTACACCACGATACATAGCTTGTCGAAGCAGTCAATGGTTGGGCATTCGTAACACATATTCCAACCACTTCAGTTAGTGACTATTTACTATTTCATCAATCAATCTACCATCCTTACTTTGTAAATCTCCATAGAATATTCGCAATGATAAAGAATAATTAGGTAAACAATTATTTTCACAATCAATTAGTCAACAAGTTCCACAATTATCAGTTCTTGATGATTGTGCTGTTTTACAAGCAAGTTATGAAGCCTACGACAATTGAACACAGAACCCTCAGTGTTTTAAATCAACACGCAATCTTTAGACAACTGGATTACCATTTAATAGTGTGTTAAAGTCAATCAGTCAGATGCATCGTAGAACTTCGTACGTAAGTACATCAGTTCATGTTGCCATATTACACATTAGCACAGAGATATAAATGTCAATTCAAATCCAACAGTAAAAGAGGTAGTAACGTTATTAGTAGTAATCGGAGAGATTAAGATTACAAGATATTATTCAAGAAGTATGATTCAGTGAAATAAGTTTAGAAAGACAAAACTAGAGGTGTTGAAGAATCCAGATTAGGATTTGGATTTGAGAGAACACAAAGAATAAATGCACCGGCGCCATTGCAAACGATTTTGAGCCATGTCATTCAGGCTATCTAATCATCGATTATTATCATCTCGCGGACCCCAACCAGGTAGCTGACATCTACGAACATCACTCAGTCTACTTGTCAGTGACTTCATGGATTTCGACCATGTTTTAGTTTGGCCGCCCCTAACTTTCTTCCAGCCTTCTCATTAACTACAAAACATAGTTCGTCGAGGCAGTCGGTGGTTAGGCATACGTAACACATGTCCCAACCACCTCAACTGATGAAGTTTCACCACTTCATCTATTGACCTGCCATTCTTAGCTAACACCCGTTTCCTAATAACAGAGTTGCTTACTCGGTTGTTCCACGATATACGAGCAATGCCTCGAAGACATCTATGATCGAAAACCAGTAACCTGCGAATATCTTCTACTCTCACTGGCCATGTTTCACAGCCATAAAGTAAGACGAAGCGAACTACCGCGCAGTACACTCGTCTCTTAGTCAGCAAACGGATATATCGCCTACGCCATAAGTGATGCAGGTTGGCAAAAGCAAATCGAGCCTCCTGTATCCGTGCTGAGACTTCGTCAGTCACCAGGCCGTCGGCACTGATGAGACTCCCAAGATAAGTAAAGCAGTCTACATGTTCGACTACTTCACTACCTGTCACTAGTTCAGGTGCCGATGAAACCCAATCTTGAAGCAACAGTTTGCATTTCGATGGGGGAAACGGCATCCCGAACATGCTTGCATTGTTGCTTAGGGTAGTCAGAAGACTCAATAAGCGAGCCACCTGGTAGAAGGTCTACTCCTGAAAATTCAGACGAGGATAAGGTTATTTCTAGGAGCACGTCTATGACAAAATTAAACAAGAATGGAGAAAGTGGACATCCCTGACGGACACCACTTGATGTAGAGAATTCCGGTGACAGTTCGCCATAAGCCCTCACTCGACCAGTGGTGTTCGAGTAGAGTGCTTGTATAAGGTTAATGTACTTCTTTGGTACACCTTTCAATGACAGACACTGCCACAGAACCTCACGATCCACTGAGTCAAATGCCGCCTTAAGGTCCAGAAAAACAACTATTGTAAGACGCCTAAATGTGTGTCTGTGTTCCAGGACCTGTCGTTGTGTGAAAATGTGGTCTATACAACCACGTCCAGGTCAAAAACCAGACTGGTTTTCTCGAGTCTGCTCTTCACGAGCTTTCGTTAGGCGCCGAAGTATTATTGAGGCCAATATTTTAGATACTATATTAGTTAGACTGATTCCCCTGTGATTGTCACAAGAGGACTTTTGTCCTTTCTTATAGATTGGGACAATCAAGGATTGAGACCAGTCGGATGGGATTACGTCCAGTTCCCAGATTCTGCCTAAGATCTCAGTCAATCTAGCTGCTAAAACTGGACCACCATTCTTAAATATCTCAAGCGTCAGTCTATCAGGACCTGCAGCTCGTCCTCGTTTCAGATTTCCTAACGCTTTCTCAACGTCATTAAGACTAGGGGGACTTAGGTCGATTTGCCATTCAGGATGACTGGAGATCGTGGGTAACCGAAGAGTGGCTTGAGGCCAGTTGAACTGATCCCTAAAGTGTTCTGCCCATCGATCCAGTCTCCTGGATTGAGAATAAATAATAGTCCCGTCATTTTCTGAGTGGACTTAGCCATGTCGGTAATTGTCGACTACCTGGTTGAGGTCCGCGAGATGATGATAATCGATGGTTAGAGACCTTGAATGACATGGCTCAACATCGTTCGCAATATCGACGGTGCATTTATTCTCTGAAATCCTATCTTCTGGATTCTTTAACCACTCTACTTTTGACTTTCTAAACTTTTCTCATTTAATCACACTACTTGAATAATATCTTCTCATCCCAACCTCTCCGATTACTTCTAATACCCTTACTAACTCTTCTACTATTGGATTTGAATTGACGATCACATCTCTGTGCTGATGTGGTATGGCGACATGAACTGATGTGCTCACGTACGAAGTTCTACGTTGCGTCTGACTGACTGACTGACATATTCCCTGGAGGCGCTACGGATTTCCCACAGTGAATGAGGTTTTGGAAAGGGAGAAGAGAGAAATAGGCAGCAGCGTGGCAAGTGTATATGTATAACCGAATCACTACTTAACTTGTCATGTTGAAGTAGTCAATACAGTGGTAAATCAACGTAAAATCATACTCATCACTAAAATTAAAGTAAATTATGGGAATATAAGAATATAACCCACAAATGAACGAGTACAGCAATGAAGAAGGAAGAGTTGTGGAGTGTCAAGTGGATAGAAGTTGAAGTAAGAAGCTGGACTCAAGTACGTTAGAATCAAAATTGCAACTACAATCGTTATACAAACATTGACAAGCCCTAATATTTCAAGCATCTGACGGCACCCGAAAAATTACCAACCATTCGTAAAATCCTGAGGAAGCATTATCATCAAACTGTTGGTTGGTCCGAAACCCATTCAGCACGGAGTAATTTTGTCCATTCACTAGGAGAACAAAAACTTCGGACCAAATCCTAGTGATGAAACACCGACCCCTTTAGATAGGAACAATTAGTTCCAAATAATACTGTTAGAACCGATAGCTCATCCGGAAACAAAAACCTATCTTCCTAGAAGAGAACATGGAATTAGATAACTGATCATCTGCACATCAACAACATTTATGGAGAAACTCGTTAAACAACTAAACACAGGAGAAATGTTTAAACTAGTCAAAGTTAAAACCCCAATTTAACACAGTACATTTCGACACACAGGAGCTTACGAAGCTTCAGCAGTTCTACCTCAGAAATATCTTTGGATTACCTATGTTCTTTACTATCTTCATATAAATAAGCATCTCATGACATTTATATCTGCCCCAACGGTAAAATAAATTACATTAAGAAACATGAAAAAAGAGAACAAGGCTACAACAATTTATTATGCTAGTATTAGAAGTGTCTATTATTTGTACAATTGACTCACGTCCATATATGGATCAGAAATTTAATTGTGATCGAAAACAAACCTAGATAAAAGTATCCTCAGAAAGCAAATAATATGAGAAATGCCATCACAAGGCAAAATAAGCCCATTGCTTCACTCAGAGCGAAACCGAGAATAGCATAGGTGAAAAGTTGTTGTTTTAGGCCAGGATTTCTTGCGTATGCCAAAGCCAAGTTTCCAAATACAGCGCCAATGCCAGCACCTGATCCAGCGCATCCAACAGTAGCTGCGCCAGCACCAATGTATTTGGCTGCTTGATCAATATCTTTTCGGACAGTAGACACATGGAAGTGACATTTGCAGGAAACAACCACTGGACGGAGGTTAATTGTTGATGTCTTTACAACATTGAGTGTAGGTCTGAGAACCGCATTGAATAAGGTCACTGGCATCTGAAATTACGACGAGAAAAGAATTATAAATCCAAAGCAAGACTCACATGCATACAAACAGGATGAAAAGAAGTAACCAACCATTTCTAGAGGCCAAAACTGAAACTTTGCGGCAAGACAACGAATTTAAACAAGAAAATATACTTCAAAAACTAAGTCTTCCTTTGGTAAGGGAACATAGAATTACCGTGAAAACTAACACTTAAAAGTTGTAAAATCTCCTATGTAGCTCGACATAGGTATCTTAACTTTATTATCCAATATCCAATATCGTTCCACTAGCTAGTTTGGAACAGTTGATTTATTTGCTCTCGATTCTTGTTATTTCGGCACGTTTTCAGGTGTTTAGTAGTGTCCAATGAATGAGGGTCTAGTTACTCGACTACCTAATTCTAGTCAATTGGCAGTTGTTTGTGAGTTTGTATGTCCCATGATTTGAATGAATGCGTTTGTTTCAGAGCAGTAGAGCTTCTGGATACAAGAAGCTAATGACGTTACCAGGCCCGAGATCAGTCAGTTGCAATGTGGTGAATAATAAGGAGAATATTCTAATACATATCAGAATAAGATTTCAGAAATATAAAACGATAATTTAATATATTAATTGATTGTGAAGACTGTGCAAGAGGACCAAGGGAGAGGGAGCAGAGAGAGATACATTAAGTTGGTGATCTGAGGAGACTACCCTGAAGTTCGTTGCAGAGAATAAGATCGCTAGACCTTATTTGCAATCTGAGCTTAGATGGTAGCGTAGAGTGTCTGGATAGCTCAGGTATGGCATACTTGTATTCTTACCGAAAAGCAAAAGGAAAGATAGTTTGCTTTATATCGGAAGTGATTTGGGATTAAAATTCAGAGAGACCCCATTAGTTCAAAGAGAATTAAGATAAGCACTGAGCCTTAGCTTAAATTATTCTAGTAGGAGGAACTTTAACTGTGGCCTTCAGCAGAAAGCCTCATGACACACCTAGTTAATTTGATAAAAATTGGCTGGAACACATGTTCCTGAAGGTTTTACTATGGCAAGCAGATCGATTGGACAACGATGAGACTACTCAAGATCTGAGGGCGAAGTCGTACTACTGACTGCAGAGGGGTGTGACAGCAGTAAAGCGTTTCCTTTGGACAACCAGCATTTGCAGCCATGCTGCCTTCTCACAAGGAAGGAAGGGTTAGAAAAGATCGACTCTGGGAACTGGACGTAATCCCATCCGACTGGTCTCAAAACCTGATAGGACAAAAGTCTTTTTGTGACAATCACAGGGGAATAACTCCAACTAATATAGTTTCTAACTCCGCCTGTAGAACCTTCGAGGCTACTGCAGGCCCAAAGTCCGGCGGGTAAAGGAGAAGGGTTTGGGCATGGGGTTGGCGACCCCATCTTACCGAAAAACTAACTTGCTAAAAAACGCTAACCAGAAAAAATAAATCAAACCATTTAACTGTGCCGTGCGAGTTGAAAGAATAATTTTGACGTCTCATGATAAAAGCCGAGTAACTTTTGAATTCAAAAGGCCGATGACTCTTGTGACTAGACCAAACATTCTCTTAGGTACATATAACGTTCAAACATGGTGGGAGATAGGAAGACTGTTTCAAGTTGATGCGGAAATGAAAATATACAACCTGGAAGTGCTTGGAATCAGCGAAACGCATTGGACACAGGTAGAACAACCGAGACTAGCTTCAGGGGAATTGCTGTTATATTCTGGTCATGAAAAGGAAAACGACCGGTGAAAAGCAAGGAAGGCAAAGTAATCAGCAACACTGAAGAACAGTGTGTGGGAAAATGTATTATTCTCGCAGTCCGCTCTGAAACCAAATGGTGTATGTTCACACGCGTCCCGCCCAGTCCAAGTCCAAAAACGATAATTCTGGGAAAGAACGGTTCTATATTTATTCAAAAAAGGAAATTCAGACAATTACCAAAACAATATTACACCGAGTTTCTAATCACCACAATAGGTTCCGTTACTGGAAGAATAAGTGCTTCCAGTCAGCCAAATTTAAATATGGCTGTAGCCATATTCAGTATCAGTTTTAAACAACACATATATAGTTCAGAAGGAAACATAGAAACTTTAATATAAGTACAAGATATAGAAATAATAACAAGATACAAATGACAAAATCTCAAAACGTGATCAAATAGAGTAACAAAATATCAACAGAAAGAGTCAGTCATATCACAACAGAAATATACATACATGGAGGGATTTTCTAAAAACAAAGTATTTAAAATAGATTCTACACAGCAAATTATGTGGGTAGACTACTCCAAGGTACTCTTGAATCTACCAGCTTCACTGAACCTACCCACCATCTACGGACCTCTCAATCGATGCTGGCGCACCTACAATTGGAGTGATCAGCATGACCATCAGACAAAACATGAGCGGCAAATCAGCAGGACCAGACAGTATTTCAGCAGAGGCGACAAAAGCAGACGTGGAAGCAACTGCAAAAATACTTCACTTTCTCTTCAACAAGATTTGGGACGGAAAACAAGTACCATCACATTGGAGATAAGGATACCTCATCAAAATCCCAAAGAAACGAGATCTCAGTAAATTAAAGAACTACACAGGCATCACTCTTCTATCGATGTAGAATCCATCTTGAAGGCTTGTTTTGGGAAAATCCCTCCATGTGCATATTTATATTATGTTCTTACAGACTCTTTCTGTGCTACATTTTGATAGTCTGTTTAATCCCATTTTGGGATGATAATAAATACTACTACTTCTAGCGCTACGGCTACTAAAGACAATAGTATTGATAATACTCCTGCGGATAGTATTGATCGAGAAACATCGAAGGACACTACGATAGGCAAGCCCGACCACCACGTCAAGGTAGCAGCTACGGTCGTGACAGACTACCAATGGCAAAACACAAAATGTCATTGCACTGTGAGTTCTTTGTAACACATCAAAGTTCAGTGTAAAGCGCACGACCAGTTTCTATCAAAGTCTGTAACACAATCACCGAGTTGAATATATTGGTAACATAGTTTTATTCTCTATGTAAATTTACCAGATATTTTTTGACTCGCACTGTTTCTTAAAGCATTTGTCATGGTCTATCTAATAATTCAAGTGACAGTGGAAACTGTCAACAGACAATGAATATATTGCGACACTTTTAAAATTCATACACGTATCGCGAAACGATTTAATGGCAGCAGGTGAATACATTATGCTATGGCGGCTAGTGTCTCACTAGTTTCGTGGCAGTCGGTATCCAACGTGTTCTTAGACGTTGTAAATAGCTAGTCTAGAAAACCATTCCTAAACTGCGCCTCATGGTTTATAATTGTGAAGGCGAATACGAAGTGTCGAATATTTGTATTTGGCAAACCGCAAATAGACCACATACAGCAGACACACGGAGCAAAAGGAAAGAGGGCTAGCAAGTCAGCAAATTGGAGAATGAATCAATAGGATTAAAATGTACAAATATATATGTGTAAATATGAAAATGGTTGATTAATCGAAATACGAAAGAAGTGATTATCCGCGTATACAGTAATTAGAGTTCAGCCATGTCAGCCCATACAAACGAGACAATAGAAAAAGCCAATGGTACATACCGGCTGCTACTACACAAATGCCTTGTTTAAATAAGTTGATCAAAAAACTTAACTACATTAACTATGAGTGGACTCGGATGTATGTGGGGGCAAAACCACAATCCCTCTCACCAAATGAGTAAACGTGAGTGTCTGTGTTTGCGCGGAAACGATTACCAAAAAATACGAAAATTTGCGAAAGATAAAGTTATCCTGTTCTCTTACGTTCGTGAAGTCTGATAAAAAGAGAAGAATAGGATAGGATAATGTTTACAGGTTATAACATCTTAACATCAGAATACGCGAAAAGTATCTAGTGTAATAGGGCGTAAGATATCATCTTTGAAGTGCATATTCGAAGTAAAAGTTATGTTCGAAATGGCGTAAAAAATTATCAGTTCGAAATCGTAGCTATATATCTTTGCAGCCATCGGACTCCTATTCCTCATTTGGTCGTTGCTGGCTTTTCTTCGCTTATCTCCGTTGCTTGAACTCGTATTTTTGTGGTTCTACTATTGTCAAAGGATCTGTGCTTATTAGCTGTTTGACTCTGTCGATGATGATTACCTTAGGTTTTCTGCTTTGTGATAGTTTTATCGTTTATTTTAATCAGTTTTAATGGACCGTGGTAGATCAGCTGTAAAGGAAGTCGCACAAATTTCCTCCTGATGAAAACATGGTTTCTATAGTTCAGCTGCTTTGGAATATACACTAGATGTTGATTTTCCTTCGGAAGCATTATTCTTAAATCACTCACATGTTGTTTTACGCGATGTACCTAGTTAGATTTATCTGTTTGAACATTCCCACTGAAGTAGGCTACCCTCCTGGTAGATTCAGGATAGTTCCGTAAACTTATTCTCAAGAACAACATCCTATGTTTCGTTTAACTGTCGATCTTAAACTAAACATGACTAATCAAAGCTTGTGGTCCCAGTCATTGTTGTTGATAACACTGATATGAGAGGCTATAAGTTGACCTGATAGTCTCTCTGTCAAAAAATTCGCCATAGGATGGTAAGATGTTGTGCGAATGCGTTTAATTCCAAAACGTTTTATGATTTATTGGAAGAGATTAATTTCTGAATGAGCTTCTCTATTTGGTGTAATATAAGCAGACATTGAATAATCTGATGTCTAATGTTCGCCTAAGGTTTTAGCTATAGTTTCTGAAGAAATTTCTTTTATGCGTACAACTAAAGGCCACTGCGTAAAACTACCGATACAGATAAATATGTAACTGAACCCAGTTTCAAACAGCTCGAATCGGCTGTCTGGGTGACGAAAAGAACCACTTTGGAACTTGGAGTGAATCGTCTATAGTAGTTGATTTGTACCAAGAATCATCGTTATTTATTTTGTGATTCGGGCAACTGATAATCACGAGTAGCTGAACACTTGTTGAGGCAGGTGTGATACTTCAAGAAATAAATATTTGTCCTGGAAATTATAGTTATTTCTCTTCAACTTCACATTTTTCAACATTTTTCTCTTTTTGCGTACGAACATATAGTGTGAGCAGAGCGTTCTCTGAAGAATGATCGATTTTTGTTACTCGATCTTATTCGTAATCGTCTTTTTGGTCCTTTGTTGTGATTCAGGGTGGCGATCTTTAAAGATAGATTGTTTATCACTTTTTTACCACCCC